TTTTTTCTTTACGAGATACAGCCAATAGCATTGCCTAAAGTGGCTATAAGATGATCGTCTTCTGTCAAAATAAACTTTATGTCTTTAAGGTTTTATTGCAATTATTATTTTTATTTATATAAGTTCTAAAGATATTTCAAAATAAAGGCTGCTCAGTTAAGTTGGCAGTAAAGACCGAAATCGTGGAAGTGCAAAATTAGGCCCCTTTTTTATATTTCTTTGCTTATTTAATTCCGATAAATTCTCCTTACATTGCTCTCTGCTCGTTTCTGGAACAGCTATCGTTCCCCTAACTTTCATGAACTGTTCCTGATCTCCTAGGCAATCTTTTCTTGCTTCACTTACCGCTTTTTCATCACCAGATTCTGAAGAGGCAGAATTGAGCCAGTTTTCATACAGGGTTTGTATCTGATATAAATCACTGCGCAAAAGCTTAATTTGAAATCTGCCCTTGTTTATTTATTCCTTCTACTTTTCAAGTGATACTGCCTTATTTAATTACGCTAATACTCTAATTTTTGCAACCCCTATTTAAACTTGCCTGATTCTCTAATTGTCGCTTTCGCTACTGTAGACTCATTTTCATGGCGATGGCAATCTTAGCCCAATTTTTCTCAATTGCCTTGTAACAGTTGGTCATGGAATTGCGAGATGAAAGAAGACGAAGAAGGGATGAAGTGGGAGAAGAAGAAGAAAGTTGAAAATATGAGTCCAGTTCAGTACCGATGCACCATATAGCTAACTTTGGTTAAATATATATCGACGCGGCGAACATTAAAAAAATACTTTTGTTCTGCTTGCAAGATTCCGCAATACTACCAGTCCCCGAAAGTAACAGCACGGACCCTTCATACTGACGATTTTGGACTGATTACTCCAGTTTAAGCAAAATTAGACAGTAATATGAGTGTTTCGAATAACTGATAAATTTGTCTCTTCACGTGTCTCATATTAAAAAATATTTCCTTGGAAGTTTTCAAAGCAAAAGTATAATAAGTTTTCTAAAAGCGTCTTGAACAGTTCACCACTTAAAAGGAACTAACCAAGAATTGTAAACTCTAGTATGTAACGCGGTTCAAACAGGCAAAAAAAAACAATGGACGAATTATGAAATAGATTAAGCGTGGACCAGAAGTAGGCGTTTATCAGACCAATTAAGAAATAATTATATATAGAAAGTAACTGTCGTTCTTCCAAACTTTAACGCGAAATGTACTTTCACCACCAGTTAGGGAACTTTTTTGCGAATTTACTTGGAGCTAGTTTGACTTGTGTTACATTTGTTGCTTTATGACAATTTAAATTGTTCATAGCTTTTATCCTTTATTTTCAAACCGTTTTTTTTTAAAATTTATTTCGTAAATTATCGTTCCAAAGGCCATTAATTTTTATTTTCTTTCTGTGCTTCTCGTGCTCGTTTAATTCAGGTATAAAAATATCCTATCAATAGTTAAGAGAATGTGAAAGGTGAAAGAATAGAGTCATACTTCAATCACAAGACTGAAGAGCTTTTTAAAAATTTTAGCAAACTAAAATTATAAAAGAAAGGGCTTAATAAATTTTAATTTTTACTTTCAAATTTTTTTGCTTTTCTCTGCAGCTAGCAATTAGCTAGCGTTACATGTTTTTATACCACTGGCAAATACTAGAAAATTTTTCTTTTTTTTCAAATTTTGTCTTTCCTTTCTTTTTTATTTCATTTTCAATTCGTGTTTGATTTTTCAATTCCTTTAATCAGAAAGTTTTTAGCACGCGGCAGATACAGAAAATAATGCGACATCTCCTCGAAATTGAGAAGCTGGGCAACGTTGGAGAAGTAAAGAAGTGAATTTAGAAGAAGACATAAGCAATTTGATCTTTCATATCGTGACTACAACTCTCTCAAAACTTTATTTAATTTATAAATATGCCTTTGTCGTTTTCACTGTTTTATGGCCTTATCTTTGACCTTTTTTGCAGCCTTTCACTAAAATAAAGTTAACTTTGCCATCATCTGTTCGCCCTGTTTTATAGTTGCTGCGATACGCGAATAACCACCGGAAGTGATAAGGTTTCTGGACTGTAGACAAAGGAATCACTATTAATGGCAAGCTCAAGTGATGAGGTAGTGATCCACTAGTTTATCCCTCAAGTTAAAGTTTCTGATGTCTACACAGCTAGTCACTGCTACCTATTTGGTTAATTAAGCTAAGAAGACAGCAATTCAAAATCAATGAGATCACATCAACGTTTAATTCAGTGTCCGCAATAATCGCTTAAAATTCAGTTGATTTTCGCAGCGCCATTGGAAGTACACTCATTCCTCCACGTGCCTCATTCCTATCTTTTCGAATCTTTTCTAACTTCAATATACAATATGCAAGTCATACCCTTTGGCAGCTTACAAAGTTGTTGCGCTTTGAATTTTATCAGTATACACTATTATTCAAAACTTATCCCTGCTTCCAGCTTTCTTTACTTTTCTGCTGCTTTTTAATTCTCTACCACAGTTCCTTTTGATAGGACCACATGCTTTTGTCCAACGAGTCTTTCTCTTGTATTGTTAGGCAAAAAATCACAAAAATTTTTCAGACAGTGGCGTTCAAGAAAAATTTCAGCAATAAATAGAGTGAGGTATCGTAAGTAAACGTACCAACGCAAGAGCTAAGGTGCTTCGTCGTCACACTAGAGTCATCAGCAGTGTTGACCTTTGAATCAAGTTCTTTGAAAGTCTAGTTAAGTCTGTGAGCGCCGGCAGCTACAAGCTGTCGACGCGAGTAAAGTGCACAGGAGAGATCC